TGGCTCTGTTGCCCAGGCTGGGATGCAGTGGTGTGATCTTGGCTCATTGCAACCTCTGCCTCCCGGGCTCAAGCAATTCTTGTCTCTCAGCCTCCCAAGAAGCTGGGATTATAGGCTGTGTTCTTTAAAAGCATTTTTCAGTGAGGTTGAGCTTCCTTTATTATATTTATTGACCATGGCATATATTCAATTGTAAATTTTTTTGTGCATATTCTTTGCCTGTTTCTCTACTGTCATTGTGATCTCTGTTGCAAATACTGACCCTTGGTTTGTTGTTTCTGGTAGCATTGATTTTATGTGGTTAGATGTCATGACTCTTGTCCTGCTGAGCATGGATCTCCCATTCCACAATCATGAGAAGAACCAACAATATGGGGGAGGTGACACTGTGTAGCTTTGGAGGCTACGTAAAAAATAGGTCATGTACTTCTGCCTTGGAGCCAGCCACCATATTGTGAGGAAGCCCAAGCAGTTTGTGGAGAGGCACATGCAGAGAGGAACCAAGGCCCTGGTTGAGCTGTCTGCCTAAAATCCAGCACCACCTTGTCAGCAGGTGAGTGAGCCATCTTACAGATAGAGCCTCCAGCCCTCAGGCAAGCCATCCATTTGGAACAGAGATGAGCCATTCCCACCAAGACCTACCCAAACTGCCAATTCATGAACCAAATGAATGGTTTCTGCTTGAAGCCATTAGATTTTGAAGTGCTTTGTTACACAGCAATGGGTAACTTTCGGAAGAGTTGTGGATTCGTGACATTGAATTCCTGGTCCTCCTCCTTCTCAGGCTACCTGTCTAGATGTTCTGTTCTCTCCGTGATTCTGTGGATCCCTCAGAGGCTTCCAGTAACTTCCTTCTTTGCTTGTGTTAGCCTGGGTCAATTTCTGTTGCTTATAACTGACAGACACGGGAAACCAGCCCCAGCAATGAGAGGTGACCCAGCTCAGATCATGAGACAGGACTGGAACACAGGCCTTTCTGAAATGTAGCCCAGGGTCCCATCCCATAACGTGTCAGTAGACACCATGCCTGCTGGATCATGCCTGCTTCCGCTGCACCCTGCACCCAGCTCAGCACCTGCTGTCTTCCAAAGGCCATTGCTGATTGTTTGTGCACACCTGTTAGTTCATGCACAGACAGCAAAGCATGTAGTTGTGCTGCCTCCTTGCCTTCCTGCTGATCTGAATGTTTCAGTCCCCCTTCCAAATTCACAGGCTGAAATCTAGACCCCCAATGTGAAGGTATTTAAAAGATGGGGTCTTTGGGAGTGCGATGAGGTTGTGAGGGTGGAGCCCTCATGGATGGGATTTGTGCCCTTATAAAATACCTCAGAGAGCTCCCTTGCCCTTCTGTCATGTTAGGACACAGCGAGAAGACACTGTCTGTGGGTCAGGAAGTGGGACTTCGGTGGACACCAAATCCGCCGTGCCTGGATCTTGGAGTTCCAGCCTCCAGAACTGTGAGAAATAAATGCCTGTTGTTTATAAGCCACCCGGTCTGTGGTATTTTGTTATAGCAGCCTGAACAGACTAAGCCACTCCCAGTGATGAGCCCGCATGACATTTTACACAGATCACTGAAAGAAGGAATTGGCCAACAAAGATGATACTCAGCAAAGACATGGAAAATGTTAATGCTGGAAGTGAAATTTGAATTGGAGGTAAATGGAGTCATAGAAGTCCATGATCTTGACAAACTGCCCTTCAAGAAACTCTTATATGCAGCCAGAGGAGCTGAGTGAAGGTGAACACATTGATATAAACCAGGAAAGGAGTTGTGCCCCAAAGCATGGAGATGTCCCAGAGGAAGTGAGCCTAGGAAAAACGTTAAAGGAACTCTTGAAGATATTTCAGTGTTGAAATCACAGAGGATAAAATCCTGAAAGCTGATCTGGAGAAAGACAATTCTCCAAAGCATAGAAAGGGTGCTTTTTTGGTATCGTAAGGTATACAATAACAGTAACGAGCACTGTGCAAACTCTCTCGATACTTCTTTTACAAAGAAATAAAGCACTCGTTGGCTGGGCGCGGTGGCTCAAGCCTGTAATCCCAGCACTTTGGGAGGCCGAGACGGGCGGATCACGAGGTCAGGAGATCGAGACCATCCTGGCTAACACGGTGAAACCCCGTCTCTACTAAAAAATACAAAAAACTAGCCGGGCGAAGTGGCGGGTGCCTGTAGTCCCAGCTACTCGGGAGGCTGAGGCAGGAGAATGGCGTGAACCCGAGAGGAGGAGCTTGCAGCGAGCTGAGATCTGCTCACTGCACTCCAGCCTAGGTGACAGACTCCGTCTCAAAAAAAAAAAAAAAAAAAAAAGAAAAAAGAAATAAAGCACTCGATATCTCAATGTTTCTAATGTTTTAAATTACAGTGTACTAAATAAATGTTAGTTGTACTATTTTAAAAAAAACCTTCCTGGTTGGGCGCTGTGGCTCACACCTGTAATCCAAGCACTTTGGGAGGCTGAGGTGGGAGGATCACTTGAACCCAGGAGTTCGAGACCAGCATGGGCAACATAGTGAGACCCTGTCTCTTCAAAAAATAAAAAAATTAGCCAAGGATGGTGGCATGCACCTGTGGTCCCAGCTACTCAGGAGGCTGAGGCTGGAGGATCACTTGAGCCCAGGAGGTTGAGACTGCAGTAAGCTGTGATGGCACCATGGCACTCTAGCCTGGGTGACACAGCGAGACCCTACCTCAAAAAGAAAAAAAAATTCCCTATGCATTTGTAACTGTACATAAAAGACTTTTTAATGTCTTGACAAAAAATTTTAAAGGCCACAAAACAATTGTAATTTCCTCATTGATCATTAGGATGGCTTTAAATGGTTTCAGATTTCATGCCTTTTTTTTTTTTTTTTTTTTTTTTTTTTTTTGGAGATGGCGTCTCACTCTGTCGCCCAGGTTGGAGTGCAGTGGCGTCATCTCAGTTCACTGCAACCTCTGCATCCTGGGTTCAAGCAATTCTCCTGCCTCAGCCTCCTGACTAGCTGGGATTACAGGTGCCTGCCACCACACCTGGCTAATTTTTGTATTTTTAGTAGAGACGGAGTTTCACCATGTTGTCCAAGCTGGTCTCGAACTCCTGACCTCAGGTGATCCGCCCGCCTTAGCCTCCCAAAGTGCTGGGATTACAGGTGCAAACCACCGCACCTGGTTCACGCTCATTTTTATGGATCCACGCCACCTGTACAGCAAGGACTGCCTGCGCTCATTCCAAGTGGTCAGAGTGGTCACCGCGTGGCCCCTCCACGTGGCCAGGCCACAGTGATGTTTCAAACCCTGGCAGGGGGATTGCCGTCAATATCCTCCTTACTAAAGGCAGCAGCTCAAGAATATTAAATCACGGGAATTCCTCACTGTGGAAGTGGGAAGGCAGCCCATGGTTCACCGTGAGGGGCACCCAGAGCTCTCCATCCACTGTGTTCAGTGTGTAGCCCTCCAGCCAGCCTGTCTTCTTCGGGAGCAATCCATCATGGAATGAACTGGCCAAAGGAGCCAGGGGCTGAATGATGCGGTTCCTACACCAGCTTTCAATGTGAAAGGTGATAAAAACAGCCCTGAATATTTTATAGCCCCAAGGAGAGGCAAGGCTCTTTATGGAAGCTGTGAAAATATAATCCATCATGATAATGTGTCCCGTATCGGCAGACTCTGTGAGCTAAGTTGTCTGTATGTTAAGGTGCTCTTTTTGAGATCTTAATTTTATTTCTGTATTTTTACAGAACGTTTGAACGTTCAGACACGTTTGAACGTGTAGACAGTAGAATAAAGAGGTGGGGGGAAATAATATCCTTCATTTCACTACTCCAGAAACGTTGCTCACATTTTGTTGCATTTCCTTCTAACTACCCCCTGCAGATTGTACTATAAATACATTTTGTGTCTTTTAAAAGATTAAACGCACTGTCAACATTTTCCCATATTATTGTGTACTCTGAGTTAACAATTTTTATTGGCTGCATAATATTTCATGATATAGGTGTAATTCATTCAGTAACTATGTATGGATTCATTGACCCGATTAGTGTCGATTGTCTATAATAGGTGTGTGGGTGGGGTAGGGGGATACAGGAAGAAGGAATAGGGCGCAGCTCCCCTTCCCCAGGATTTCTGGAACCAGGGAGGCATAACAGATGACTGTGATCCTGTGTGAGGGGCAGGGACGCAGTGGGCCCGGTTGCAGCCTGGGAGCAGGTGGTCAGAGATGCGAAGGCTGTGGGCAGAAGCGGCTGGTGGTCCACAGCAGTAGGCAGCAGGGGGAGGGGGTGGCGTTCATGGCAGGAGGGATATTATGGGCACAGCACAGCGTGGTGTGTTCAGGGTTGCTGGAGTGTTCACTTACAGTCTTGGAGATCCTGGCAGGTGTGGTGGTGATCTGTCCAGCCAGGGGAGGGAGAGGGAACTGAGAGTCATCCAAAGTCTTTGGGAGTTTGGGAAGGAGAGTAGGGGGGCTCAGAGGGGGTGTGAGCACTTCCAGCAGAGGTGAGAAGGCCCCCAGTGAGTTGGCCAGGGTGGGCAGTGGAAGGGGAGCGGAGGTGAAGGTTGTGGAGTGGAGAGGGTTTCCAGGCAGGCTGGGAGCTGCCCAGTGTGTTGGAGGAAGGCTGGGCCTCCTTGCATGGTGTTTGGCCAACGCAAGACCACAAGAGTGTGGCTAGAAGGCTGGGGGTACAGATGGCAGCAGGTGGAGGATGGAGAGAGCTTCTGCCCACTGCCGGACACCGACTGCCCCAACTTTTGGTGTTTAGGGTTTAGGTTAAGATGGGATGAGCATTCTTTTTTTTTTTTTTTTTTTTTTTTTTGAGATGGAGTCTTGCGCTGTTGCCCAGGCTGGAGTGCAGTGGCCGGATCTCAGCTCACTGCAAGCTCCGCCTCCCGGGTTTACGCCATTCTCCTGCCTCAGCCTCCCGAGTAGCTGGGACTACAGGTGCCCGCCACCTCGCCCGGCTATTTTTTTGTATTTTTTAGTAGAGACGGGGTTTCACTGTGTTAGGCAGGATGGTCTCGATCTCCTGACCTCGTGATCCGCCCGTCTCGGCCTCCCAAAGTGCTGGGATTACAGGCCTGAGCCACCGCGCCCGGCCTGGATGAGCATTCTTATGAAGGCCCATTGTCCCGTATTCCAGATTATTCTTGTGTCTGGCCAGGTAGGAAAGCAATTTCTTGATGTAAGGCTAGAGGTGTTTTTAAGGGCTTGCATAAAGATTTGAATATGATGTTGTCTACTAGACCAAAAATCAAATTGGCCAAAACATTTTTGTTTGGGTGGTTTTTGGAAGAGTAAGTCCACGAATGCTGTGCGGCTCTGGAGCCATCTGAAGATTCCAGCAAGCCCATCGGTCTCTATCTCTCCTGCTTACACAAAAGGATTGATTTCAGCTCTAGCACATGGTGACTTGTGCTGTGTTCATCATCTCTTGGTAGGTGTCTGACAGGAGATGGGCTCGGGCTGTGCAGGGAGGAGCCGTGCGGTGCACCACCTATCTCCGCAGGCATAACTGTTTTGTCTTCATGGTGAAATAATAGCGATGGTGGTGATGAGGAGGAAGCTCCTGTGTAATGACACGTTGGTGATCACATTAGGGCTCTGTGTCCACTCTGGGAGGTGGTGACAATGACGTCGCGTTTGCACATCAGGACACCGAGCCTCAGAGAGGTTGAGTCCCAGGGCGAAGGCCACGCAGTGAGTGCCACAGGTACCATGACTACCTAACAAATGACTCTGGAGCTCAGTGATGTGATGACAACCATTTTGTTCTGTCTGGATGCTGTGAGTCAGGAATTTGGGCAGAGCCGGGCTGGGCAAACCTTCTGCTCTAAATGGCCACTGATGAGTCTTCCAAGCTGGTGGGTGGGCCGATCTGGAGGGACTGAGATGGACTCACTCACACATTTCCTGCACAGTGGGGAGAGCTGGAAGGGGGGGCTCCCCTCTCCAGCATGTGGTCTCAGGGCAGTTGGACTCCTTTGATGGCAGCTGGCTTTCCCGTCCCCAGATAACCAAGTGGAAGCTGCTTGGCCCTTCCTGACCCCTTGGACACCTCAGCATCAATTGTGTCACCTTCATTTAGTTCAAGCGAGTCACAGGCTGGCCCAGGTTGAAGGGCAGTTGGACTCAACCTTTACATGTGGGAAGGGCCAAGTTACATGGTAGAAAAGCAGATGGAATAGGAGACAGTGCCCTGGCCCTCCCTGGGAAACACTGTGTGCCACAGACAGCCTGGGCAGAGCCAAGACCTCCCCTGGGCTCTGTCTGACCTTGGAGCCACTGCCCCACTCCTGAGCAACACCCTCTTGTATCCCTGAACAGTCACAGGAAGCACAGGTCCTTCTCGCCCTGCCATTTCCCTGTTCACAAATAGCGAAAGCATCCCATACTTTTGCTCATTTAAACACAGAGGGAAGGAGGTGAGTGAAAGCTTTTTTTAGGGGTAGATTAGATGTGAGGCAGACCAGCAGCCCTGGGTGTGCACCGGGTGGAAATTATTCTTACACACAGGGTTGGGTGGGGATGCAGCCTGCCACTGCCCCTCTGGCCGTCCCCCTCCACAGGAGGCTTGCAGATGCCCACATCAGCCAACGGCCCTAGGTGGGCCCACATGGCCCTCGGTGGGGATGCGCTTGCCTCCTTGCCAGGGCCACTGCGGTAGGGAGTACTGCAGAGTGGAAACAGGTGAGCTGGGCTGAGTTTTCTGCTTGGCTAATTCAGTGTGGCTTGACTCCAAGAAGGACACACTGACCTCCCCATCGTCTTGTTTGTTCAGCCTTGCAGAAGCAGTTTTATGAAAAACCATTACAGCCCCGGTGGTCTGGGCCCAGACCCGGTGCACACCACGTGCCCGCACTGGGGGGTGGGGACCATTCTCGGTGAATATGATGGAGGCACAGGAAGCCGCCCTCCCATTCAGGGAGAGCTCACCTTGTGTCTGCCCCTGGGGTGGGGTGGGGTGGGCAGTTTCCAGCCTTTGCCCATGGGCTAGAGCTGCTGGAGGTCTTCCTGAGCTGAGGAGGCAGAGCTGGGCTGGCTGGGGCTGGGGGATGCCAGGGATACTTCCTGCGACTCCTGACGCTGCTCCTTCCTCTTTGGGGATCCGTCTCCCACACTGTCCCTGCTGCCTTTACATCTTCAGGGTGGAGAGGGACTCTGGCCACCCTGGGGCCAACCATCCTGTGTCACTGCTGGTGTGTGTGACCTGTGGTGGGCCCTCCCTCAACTCTGTATCTCCAGTTCTAAGCCAGAGACAAGAATATCCTCTGGGAGATCTGTTCAAGGGTGGATGGAGCTGAGGCGTTAGGTGTGTCTCATGCTCAGGAATGGTCCCGCACCTGCTCTTCTTTAGGATGAGCAGTGGGACTGTGGGCAGAGGGAGCCACACGCATCCATCCTGGCTCTCAGCATCCCAGGGAAAGACGTTCTGCTCCACCCTGATCAGCCTCGCCCTTTAACCAACCAAGGGCTGCCTGCAGTGTGGCCGTGGGGAGCTGGAGCCAGGCATGGCAGCAGCCCTTCTAGACAGTAGGCAGTAGGCAAGCCTGCTGATCATGGAGCCGAGATTCTCTGTGGGACAGAACTGGTCCCCAGTATCCCTGTGCCTTTGGGCCAAGAACTCAGTCGGCTACTTTGCTTCCAGGCTTGGGAACACTCGGAGTAGGCTGGGAGTCTCCTGGTCTCACCCTGTAAGCCCCACATAAGCCTTGTGGACAGCACCGCTTGGCAAGTGACCCCCTCATCAAAACCCCAAACTGGAATGCTTCTCTGGCTACATAGGCATGGCCGTGTGGGGACAGTGGGAGGGCATGTGATAATTCAGGGTAGCGGCTGAAAGCCTAGGGGTTAGGGCTGCTGGGTCCTTCTAAGGTGGTGCAGGGTGCACAGCCCTCTGGGCCTCAGTTTCCTCTTCTGTGAGATGAGGACTCTATCTTGGGGCCACAAGTGCCAGTGTTTTCTCTGGAAGAAAAGGCGACTGCTGAGGGAAGCAGCATGCAGGTGTGAGGGCCCAGGCCCCAGACGGGATCCCATGAAGACCTAAGACAGTGAGCCAAGAGTGGAGAGAGGGGACCAGGGTAGACTGCGGTGGGCCCCAGGAGCCGGGAAGTGAGGAAAATCCAGCTGTGCCCTGAGGGTTAGACTCCACTGCCAGTGTTCACAGGATCTGGAGCTGATGGGGACCTGCAGTGTCACCCTGAAGGGACAGATGGCCCCCAGGCCAGCAGGAGGTGGCAGAGTCATTTGGCAGCAACATTTGACAAGCAGAAGGCAGTTGGTCCCTCCCGCTTCCTGTCCAGGCTCTTGGGGCTGGGACCCCACTCCCAGCCCTGTCCTCCCCAACCTCCCCACGCTTGCACAGGCTCCTCTGGGGCAGAGGAGGGTGCTGTGATTTGTGGGTTTGGGAGAAGTTGGAAGCATAACGGGTCAGTGCTGCAGCTGAGTCCACACTGCCTGTGCTGGGTGGAGCGGGTGAGGGCGTCCCTGGCTCTGGGGTGGTGTCACTGCTCACACTTTGTCCTGTAGCCAGGCCCTCTTCGGGGGTGAGGGTTCCACGGAGCCCTCCTTCTGCCTGGCTCTGCCGATCCAACTCTTTTCTCTCCCTTGGGGGTTTCAAACTTAGACAGGAACGGGGTGGCATTTATTGGGCCCCAGACAACCTGACCAGGTCCCTCAGAGCACTGAGGCCAGGACGAGGAGGGTGGGAGGAGATGGGAAGCGTTTCCTTTGTGCTCGCTCCCTGGCCATCCCCAAACCTCCACATGAACCTGGGGTGGCTGAGCATTCATTATGCTTTGTCTTTGTAAATAGGCAGCTATAAAAACCTATCAGCGTGCAGCACCTTCTCCATGAAACAGGCCGGATGGATTTATAACCCAGGCCCCCTCCCTGAGAGAAGCCTGCAAAGCAGGTCCCACCTCATGCTGGCTGCCATCACCCTCCCTGCCCCCGCCCCACCTCATGCAAGCAGCAGAAGGGAAAGCACGTTGAGTTGTGTGTTTTCGATGGAATTTGTCACAATAAGAAAGGGGATTTTGTTGGGGCTCGTGGGATGTTTAGGAAAGAGCCAGAGAGTGGTGCAAGCTGTGGGCTGTGCTGAGAAGCCTGGGCTACAGGAGGGCAGGCGCTGGAGTGTTGGCAGGGTCGGCACAGTGGCTCATCTGGACAGTCCACAGCTGATCCAGCCCACACTGTGTCAGACACTTTGCTGGGAGTAGGGGATGTGGCTGTGGGTACGATTGACAAGGTCTGTGTCCTGAGGAGCCTCCAGATCAGATGAGATGGACATGTGGTCAGTGACGGTACCATGTCAGGTGGAAGAGACAATAGGCTGAGCTGCCCAGATCATCACCTGACCAGCTTGGGTGGTGGCAGGTCCAGGAAGGCTTCCTGGAAGAAGTGAATTCATTCAGCACACGTTCATCAGAGCCAGCGATGCTTAGGCACTGAGAGTGCTGTCAGGGATACAGGAGAGAATGGGAGAGTCCCTGAGTCATTCCAGACTCTGGGGTTGAAGTGTCTGCTGATGGAGGCACGGGAGGGGCACAGCAGGTTCCCATGTGAGCAGGGAGCTGTGCAATATGGCAGGTGGCAGCGCCAGGTGGAGGTGTCTCTACCTGTCTCCAGACCCCACTCCCCACCCAGGTATGGAATTGTTATCTCCAGCTGACAGAGAAGGACACTGACGTGGGGGTTTCACCTCTCAGGAATGGGTAGGCCGGGATTTGAACCCAGGTCTGCAGACACCAAATCTATCCCTCACTCAGGCCTGCACTGACCTCTGTGCTCCTCTGGGGCTCCAGGCAGCTGCCTGGGTGGGTGCTGTGTCTGGGGTCTTTCCTGGTGTTCCTTAGGCCCCTCGCCCACCACCTTCCTTCATTATTCACTTGGATGCCTTGATGGTCTGGGCTGGAATCCCCCCAAGCTGACCCACCATGCGGCTCATCTTCCTTTTCCTTCCAGTGCTTGGTGAGCTTGCCAGTGAGGTTGAACTGTTGCTTGATTTTTCTGTGACCCAGATGAAGAACTGGGTAATCATTTGCTCAATAAGGTGAGAAACCCCATGTTCCGGTTAAAGTGGGGGCACTGAGGACCAGCGAGGGGAAGGCAGTACTTGTATTTGTCAGCCTGGAGGAGGTGCCAGATACCAGCCAGAGCACCCCAACCTTTATCTTGACCACTACCTGCAGTTGATGCTGAACCTCCCACTCCACCCCATAGATGAGAGGATTGAAGCCCAGAGAGGCCAGGCTTCTTGCCCAGGGCTGCACAGCCAGCAGGGATGCTGGGATTGGGATTTGGCCCCAGCCTTGTCTGCCTCCAAAGCCAATGCTATTTCCACCATACCCAGTGTCTCCCAGAGCTAATTTTGCGGCTGGAACTCCAACCCGCAAAGCTATCTAGGACAGGCAACTCGATGAAAGAGAATTAGGAGGGAATCCTAGAAAAATGGGGCTCGGCAGCTCCCGGGGAAGCCTGGAGAGGAGGTGGCACTGAAGCCTCTGCCAGCAGATTGGGGCGGGGCTGTTTTCAGTCCTCTCTGGCGAGGCGTTTCGAAGCCTCCTCCGGGAGCCCTGTGCCTCCGTCCAGGACTGGCTGTTTCTCTGAAAATCATACCCCCAGCAGTGTTTGGCTTCGGGTGAAAGGAGAAGAGAAGATTCTGGCCACTCAGAGCAGACCCTTGTGGGGGATGGAACCTATTTTCCAAAACTCTTGGGGCAGGGACCAGGGTGGCCGGCAGGGGCCCGTGGGCTGCCTGGGGGACCTGGTGCTCAGGGACTTAGAGATTTGTTTTCCTGCTGAATATATTGCTTTCTCGTGCCTGCTTTGTGCAACGACGTGAGGATGTGGGGGTGAGGATGGCCGACAGGACATGGGAGTCCCTCTCGACAGGGGCTGGGCGGTGGCGGGGGTCCACGTGTCTCACATCAGCATAACTCTGTGTTTTCTCTCCTCTCCAGCACGTATTTAGTGGAAATAAACTCATTTTATTATTAAAAATTAAAGTCATGTATTCATAGAGTAAACAAGACTGAGGGCACGCAGAGGTGCGCTGTGAAAGTACAGCTCTCTCTGAATGGGCACTTAGAGACATGCCTGTTCTCTGCAGCTACTGCAGGGGTCTCATCTCGTTGGGACGGAGCACGGTTCATTCATCCAGTTGCCTGTTGATCGACATCAGGTTGTGTCTAGTTTTGTTTTTTTTCCCCTGCTTTGCATGGTGCTGCAAATTCACGGCTGTGACAGTGTCTATGAGGGTAGATCCCACCAGTGGGCCTTGGAGGGTCAGAGGGTGGGGCCTTGTACGTGGAATTGGTGTGGTTGGGTGTGTGGTGCCTGCACAGGGCTATGTATTTTTAGCCCTCCCGGAGCCTTTCCTTCTGACACGGTCTGGAGGCCTCCTCTGTGCCTGGCCACTGTGCAGCTACTGAGCTGAGCATCACCCAGGGCTTGCCTAAACCTGGCCTGGATCCTGAATGCTGCTCCACGGCATGGAGGTTGGCTGGTTGAGTACTAAGGCCACATAAGCAGGGGCACTGCCTCCACCTGCTGAGGTCAGCCCCCGCCCGGAGTTCAGCAGGACCTCCATGAGCCTTCGTGTGGGTGGCACATTTCGGCACGTCCCCTTGGGGTGGTGGCCATTCCCTTGTGGTTCCTTTGCTCATCAGGGGGAGGAGGACAGCCAGACACAAGTGAAAGGGGCTTGGGGATGGCAATTCTAGTCCTTGGCCCGGAGAGTGTCCCTGGGCTTCTGTGGCCCCACCTCCCTGGGTAGTCAGAAGGGTTAGGAGGGCGGGGCTGGCCCTGAGGACTCCAGCGTGTGGCAGCAATGGGAGAGAGGAAACGGCCCAGAGAGGGAGGGAGAGAAGGACGATCCAGATGGTGGTGGTCTCCTCATCCCTCAGCCAGTGATGCAGCGTGGTCTTGATGGGCTGACCTCGAGGGTCCACCTGGGAGCTGCTTGGAACTCTCTGGAGGTGGGGCCTGCCCTGGTGGGGGCAGGAAGGTCCCAGAGCAGCTTGTTAAGTGGGGTGAGGACAAGTGTCAGGAGACCTGGGCCTGGATCCCGCTCCGCCACCCCTCTCCATGTGACGTCTCGGTACCTCAGTGTACCCATCAGTGAAGCAGGGATGAAACAGTTCTTAAATCCTGCAGCATGGTGGGAGCCACCTGAGGAAACGATGCAAAGGGCTTTGACTGAGTCTGGCACAGAGAATGCACCCAATGAATGACTCTGCTGACAATCTTTCTTCTCACCCTGGGTGGTCTCTGGAAGCCCCTCTGTGCGAGGTCTTATCATTTGTCAGCTGTGCATCCCCCACCTGAGTGCAGCTCCCACGGGGTGTGTGCAGGAGCCTCTGTTCCTCCTGTGCTTCCTGAAAAAGGGCCCAGAGAGTATTTGCAGCAGGAATAACTGAGTGAATCCCAGAAACCTCCTATCACACTTAGGGTGATTAGGAAGACGCACACGATCCTCACTGTGGGAAGGGAGCTGGCGACCCCAGTGGGTTGTGGTCCCTACAGGGATGTGCTTGCGGCTTGCGCTGCTGTTATTCCAGCCACAGCTGAGGCACAGGAGAAAACGGAGACTCTGAGAAGTTCAGAGGCTTGTCAAGGTCGTGCTGTTCCTACAGGGTGGACCCTGGATTTGACCCCAGGCTGTGTCCCTGCGAAGCTTGGAGCCTCCTTCTCAAAGGGAGACAGATGGATGTCGTTACAGATGTGATTGCCAATTTCCTCCTTTTCATTAAATTGCCAAGGAAATGGTCTCTTGCACCCCGCCTAAAGCAGGGGGAAGGAGGAGGATAAAGGTCAGGTCGCCATCTCTGCTGGTGTGTGAGTGGGTGGGCGTGGGGAGCTAGGAGACCGGGTGCTGGGCCTTTGAAATTTCCAACTTTCCACAACATCCTGGGTGTCAGTGAGCCCCTGCCTTCCTCCCTTGCATTTATCCAGAGCTCTTCCTCCGCAGGGAAGAACAACAGCCCGTGATGGGGTTATTTCAAGGGGATTCCCATGGAAACGCGAGAGTGGGAGGTTCCTCACAGCACTTGTATAATGGGAGTTGGCTGAGGTGGCAGCATGTCCCCACAGAAGGGTGCGAGGGGCCTTCTCCGCACCACAGGCCTCCTCAGAGTGGGAGGGACCCACCCGAGAGGGGCTGGTTCCCCTTTCATGCTCCCGCCCTCTCTAGCCAGCTCAAGACTCCAGGGCTCCTTGGTGTAAGTGAGAGCCAGGCCAGCTCCCCAGGGACCCCCAGGCCTGGTCCTTCCCATGGTCTCTTTTCTCTGGCGGGTCTTTGTCTTGGGCTGCTGCCAGCCACAGCTTCCTGGCAGGACCTCCTGGCAGGACCTCTGTGCTTTGAGCCGCTGTTCCTCTGCCAAGACCTTGCCCCTCACCGTGGCCTGAATCAGCCCAGCACCCCTTCACCTCTGTTGCAGTGCTCACATTTATCCCCTCACTCCTCCATCCAACAAGTTTTTTTTCCTTTTCTTTTCTTTTTTTTTTTTTTTTTTTACAAGCAGACACTTTGCTCAATAAAAGAATTATGCTGTGAGCTGCTGTAACCTCTCTGAGCCTCCCTTTTCTCATCTGCTTAGTGGGAACAGTGGTGCCTGCCATGTCTGGTTGGTGAGGATTCTATCAAGCAGGGGGACAGTGGGCCGTCGGCAAGGAGTCTGAGCAGGTGTACCAGTATTTCCAATCAGCTGATGGCTGATGGACACGTTCTTGGAGGCAGGGAACTTGGAGACCTGCAGACGTGCCCCAGGATGACAAGATTCATCGGTTCCTATAAGCCCTGCCTGGGCCCGGTGCTTTTCAGTGTGTACTGGGCTTTCCCATGTGAAATCTTATCTGATTTTTATGCCACCTTGAGGAGAGTGATGTTCATTTCCCTTGTACAGATGAGGAAACTGAGGCTTAGGGAGGCAATGTGACCTTTACAAGGATCCATCTGCTCCCTGGTGGCCTGGTTACCCCTCCTGGCAGTGCAGGTGGGGTTAAAACCACACAGGAGGAAAAATGAGCCTCAATAGGGGTGGGAAGCTGGGGCTGGAAAATGTCTGATGCTCTCCCAAGTCAAATTGTGCTTGGTGTCTGTGGGTGTGTCACTGTGGGCGAGGGAAGCTCAGTCCTTTTGAAAAGGGGAGGGAGTTTGATGGTGCTGCAGGGGTAGCTCTGAGTTCTGGAGTCTCAGAAAGTGGTTCTAGGCAGCTCTTGTGAATCAAGTGCTGTTCTGAGCACTTTAATATCCAGCGTGACCCTAAGGATAAATGCTGCTGTTACTGGCTTTTTTACAGATGAGGAAACTGAGGCACAGAAGGATTAGGTAAAGTGACCGGAGTCACTTAGCCAGGATGTGAATCACAGCCCACACCCGTGAGCACCAGGAAGCCTTGGCTTTCAGGGTCCTTGGAGGGTGTGCAGGGCAGTCGCCTCAGCTGGGAAGCCTTGGGGTTGTCTCCAGGCTGTGTGGCCATGTGGGACAGGAGTCCTTCTCTGTTAGGTTCTGCGACACCGTGGGCAGAGGGCTGAGGACCCCAGCCCTCCCTTAGAACCTCATGTTGGTGTGAGACATTTAGAGGCAGGCCTCTGTGCTTAGAAAGCACCTCTTGGGTCACTTGCATTAGTGAAAGTTATACCTTTGACACTCCATTTATTTATTTATTTATTTAGAGACAGGGTCTCTCCTTGTCACGCAGACTAGAGTGTCGTGGTGCCATCATAGCTCACTGCAGCCTCAAACTCCTAGACTCAAGCGATCCCCCTGCCGGGGCCTCCCAGAGTGCTGGGATTACAGGCGTGGGCCACAGCACCTGGCTCAAACTCCCTTTCTGTTTTCATGAAAAGAAACAGCTTCAACTTTGCAGTCCCATCTGTCTGTCTATGAGACTGTGCCTTTGTGTGAGATGGGAGCAGTCACTGTCACCTGCTCTTTGAATATTTGATTAACAGGTAAACAGCCTGAAATCCATTTGACATCTTACCCTTTTGCAAACTTGGTTAAATTCTCTTAAATTGGTTCCAGTTGGATTAATTAAATGCATGGTTGCTTATACAAGTGTCTGCAAATGATTCTGGCAGGTCATGTCTTAGCTGGATAGTGAACATAAGCATCTAGAATCTTCTCAGCCATTGCAGAGATTACCAGCAATCATCCTGAAAAGGTTTGGGAGAGGGTTTTTTTGTTGTTGTTATTTTGCTTTTTTTGAGACAGGGTCTCACTCTGTCACCCAGGCTGGAGTGCAGTGGTGTGATCTCAGCTCACTGTAACCTCCGCCTCCCAGGCTCAAGCGATCCTCCTGCCTCAGCCTCCTGAGTAGCTGGGACGACAGGCGTGCGCCAACATACCCAGCTAATTTTTGTATTTTTTTTTGTATAGATGGGGTCTCACCATGTTGCCCAGACTGATCTAGAATCCCTAGGCTGAAGGGATCCACCTGCTTTGGCCTCTCAAAGTGCTGTGATGACAGGTGTGAGCCACTGTGCCCAGCCTGGGGAGGTTTTTGGATGCACTGGGCCACGGATGTGAAGGTGAACACATGGAAATGATCCCGGCCACCTGCTGTGTGTCCAGTGGACGTGTCTCTGATCTATCCGGATTGTTATACTGTGTGTCAAAGTGGAAACTGCTGAGAGTGGAGCCCTCTGCTTGGCCTGGCATCGCTTGGAAACGTGGAGACATCTTACCTTTTTGTGCCATGATTCTCTCTCCATGAGCAGCTTCATGGCTTAAAAGAAATTAAGAAGCTGGATCCCTGCTCAGGACCCGCTGAAGTGCAGAGTCACTGTCTGAAGTGGTGGGGTAGGGAAAAATAGGAAATAAGGGGTCTGATCATTTTGAGAAACCTCAGGGAGATTTACGCTTGGGCTGTGCGAAGATCCCTGAGAGTGTCAGAGTGTATTTGGAATTTCCAGTATCCTCATTCCCCCCTTAATATCCAGGGGATCTGGGGCCTTAGTCTTCTTATCTGTAAGATGGGACAAGTAACGACTAGGCTTTGGGGTTGTCAGAAGACTGAATAAGAAAATGGGTATGAAAACAGTGGTCACGGTGCCTGGCCCTCCATCCCTGTCTCCACCAGGCCTACTCATCTGGCCCAGGCCTCCGTGATCTCCGCGGGAGCAGACCTCCTGTAATGGGTGTCGAAGGACCCTTGTTCTATTTATCCATCTGATTTCCGTTCTCGGGGCCACTGCCTCTAGCCGTGTTAGGCACATGGTGGGTGTCTGTCCCATCGATCCTCGTCGATTCTTTGGTCCTGGGCCATCATGTTTCTAAACTGTCCGCTCTGTCCTCATCAGGCATTTGGACCTGGTTGGGTTTCCAGGCTCTCTTGCGGTCAGGGGGCTGCAGGAGTATTCATGGGCCAGGGATGTTTGGACCTGGTTGGGTTTCCAAGCTCTCTTGCTGTCAGGGGGCTGCAGGAGACTATACACCGGCCAGGGTTGGGCTGCTGGGCTGCTGCTGTGTTGGAGCCACCTAGCACTTGCCTCGTCGCTGCACCTGAGAGGCTGTGTGGGCTGAGACAGCCAGATAAGATGCACCCGGGAGCCATCTGTTTGCAGCCCTTGGACCAGATGGTCTGCAAGGACTCCTGGGGAGGGGGGCAGTGGTGTATGGAGAGAATACATTTGCTGAACACCCAGCATCTTCCAGAGCCTCAGCACAGCCCTACAAGCTGGGCATTGCCATCATGTTTATTCGGACCAGGAATACGAGGCTCAGAGTGACTGAGTCACTGGTGACAGTCACCCAGCCAGGAAGTGGCAGAGATGGGATTTGAACCCACGACTTCCTGAGTCCCAGGCTAGTGTTCTTCGCACCAGGCTGCTGAGGTTCCAGCTGAATGCTGCGGCAGAGCGACTTCTGAGAAGTACCACGGAAGGGGGTGACTCACGCGGGGGTGGTCTGACTTCTCTGCCTGGTGCCTGAGGGCACCCAGGTCCCTCTGCAGCCTTGGGGCTTTACCCAGCACATGCATGGCATCCTGCAGCACCCTGCCTCTGGAGCGCACCCTGTGTGTATCATAAAGTATGCTTTGCCTATAAAACCTTTCTAACGAAATTGGTGGAAGATGGAGAAGCCAAATTCAGTTTTCAGAGATGACACTAATCCTATTAAGGTTGACGGGGCCAGAGCGCGTGTGGAATGAGTCCTGCCAGGCGGTGGCCGGGCACCTGCCAGGAAGGCTGGATGGGATCCTAACAAGAGTGGTGCCGAGGAGAGAGAGGGAAGGGGCCTCATCCATCCCAGAAGTTTAATAAGCTGAGGCCACTGTAGAGCTTTGTTCTCCTGGGTTCCTGGGGTGGGAAACAGGGCTTCCCACAGCACGCAGAAATGGGAGGTGGGCAGTGGTCACCAAGCAGG